CCAGGAGAGGTCTGCCACGCCATGTGGTCACCTCCGGGGCAGGCGGGAATCCAACTCATGCGGAAGTGGCTTAAGCTTCTTTGTGCTGTGCTTTAACCTGCTGCGCCACCAGGGAGGGCCATTCTTGTCCTATTTTTAATGAAGTTTGCATATTGTTCTGTTTGAAACTATTATTGAGGTCACAAATTCTTACTATTAACTTTCTTAATTTAAACGGTTTCAGTCTAGTTTAATGGATTTGTAACACAGTATTGCTTGTTCTGTCAAGTTTTAATTCACATTACATTAAATGACTCATTGGTATTTCTAATAAAAACCAAAAAATTAGTTGAAAACTAAGATCTGTATTAAACATTCTCAACTGTGCTATTTAAATTACTGTGCTTGAATTTTTCAAAAAGAAATTCTTCAGTGTGAAAATTTGGTAAACTCCAATAGCATGAAGTTGGTGTTCATTGTTACTGCATTTTTATAAAACTGTGTCTTGTTCAGGGTCTGTAGGACTTGGGGTTCTAACACATTATGAAGGTGAGCAGTTAGCCTTCTGCCTTCTCATGGGGCTGTGGCTGACCTTTGTAGCTCATGCGAACAGTTTTCTTGACATGAATCAGAATCAAGTGGAACTCTAGCTGTAAAGCACTTTATTCACCTTAAATGGAGATCTTACTTGCCAAAGTATGAAATTAGAAAAAAAAAAGAAACAACTTCTTTAGTTCCAGTTCTCATAAATTGTTACTTCTCTATTTGTAAGATCTGCAACTTCTGCAAGTAAGACATTCCTATGGTGAGATTATACTTCTGTGTTTCAGATAATAACCTAAAGCTATTAAAGGAGTTAACAAGCAAAAAACCTCTTCAAGTGCCAAGCATTTATTATCATTTGCCTCATTTATTGCAAAATGAAGGAAGTCTTCAACCTGCTGTGCGGATTGGTAGTGGCAGAAAAGGAGGTATGTTTGTTTTGCTCCCTGTTGTGATGGTACTTCTCATTTTTATTGTGTCTATTAGAAGTTGGATAGATAAAAAAAAATAATAAGACTTCTTTATCTGTTCATAGTAACATAGTAACATACATTTCATTCTGAAGTCCACATTGGAAACAGTTGGACTTTTTCTCCATAGACCAAGAGCACTAAAGTTGAATAGGCTCAGGAGAAATCTGCTACCCCCCTATCTCTGCACAAACATGTGTAAACTTCTGTAATTTTTCTAGGTTAAAATGTAGGAGATGACTTTTTTAAAATCTGATTTCAGCATTAATAGTTCTTAATTTTAGGCAAGAGGGATTTTATGTCTGCCCCTACAGTCACTTATATTAGCTTTTCATGCAAAAATAGAAATTTTATTTCTATTTTAGTTTATTTTTTCCTAATATACCCAGAATATAGTAATACTTTTCTCTCCTCTTGTTGGAGTCATCACTTGAATTCTCCTTATGAGGCCTTTTAACTGTTTTTTAAGATACTTTTTATACCTCTTTTACCTTTGTTAATTTCTTCTGTGTAATTTATAATTGTAAAGTCCAAAATACTGTTTTGTTCACTTATGCCTTTAACAAATGACAGAAGTCATTACCTCAAAGATACTGAACTTCCTTTTTGTGTTCATGTTTTTGAAAAAATCATTTTAGTCATCTTTTGATTCAGTAAGAGTCTTGGATATTTTATTGTTTTTTTTTTTTTTTTTTGTGGGGGTAGTCACATTTTCTCACTTTGTTGTTTGATATTTTATTGGTTTTTTTTTTGGTGGGGGGGTCACATTTTCTCACTTTGTTGTTTGATCTGTAAGTTTAAGCTTTAAAATCTTTTTCATTGAAGTAACAAACGTTGCATTATAGCATTGTCATTATCATCTATGTGAGCATCATAGAGAATCAGCATTTATGCATTAAGTTCACCACACATTGGTTGTCATCTTTCTATTTTAAGAATCATTTGAAACTGTACCCTCTCTTTGTAAGGAGGTGGTAACTCTTAAGATAATCATGTTCCATCTAACTCATTCTATCATTTCTTTACTAAGTCAAGAATATTTGGCAAGTAGATGCTAGATGAACAAAGACTAAACAAAATGTTTGTATCTTTCCCATTAATAATGACTATTTGGGAAAGATGCCCTACTCAGTCAGAGCACTTGTTAGCTTGTATTTTTACTACTAAGGTCATCCAATGAAAATAAAATAGAAATATTCATAAAGTTATGTGAAGCTCCTCACATCTCTAATAGTTTTTTTTTTTTAAACAGTAACTTTCTTTTGTGAATGTGACATTCTCTCCACCCTATTTGTTTATGACTTATCCATCATAGTTATAATAAAATCTTGGTTAATAACTTCTCAGTAATGTTGTTTTTCAAAGGTAGATGAGGCACACAATTGTGGGGAAACATAAGAAAACCCTCAAATTTATATCAATAATCTTCCTTCTAAATCCTTAGGCAGTGCTTCTTTTAGAGTCATTAAGCCATTGGGCTGCCCTTGAAAAATCATTGATTGACCTTCTGCTTAGAAAAATGTCCCTAGAAAAAGTGATTTCTGAGATTTTGTGGAGTCTTCTAAGGCCTCAGAGGCAACTGATGACTGGACTATTCCCACCCAAATAAAATACTGCTAGCCCACCCCAACCACACCATCCTCCCACAGAATTTGCAAGAATAGGCTATAGTAGTCAACACAGCACATAGAAAGAGATTAAAGGTCATCTTTACAAGTTGGTGATCAGATTTTAAAGAAATCATGAGAGACTTCATGTTGAAGAAAATGAAGTTTATAAAGCAAGCAGAATATAATTAAAAAATAAAACACAGTATAGCTATTTATGCATACAGGCCAGAGGTGCAGGGGCAGTGTGAGGATTCACCAGAGACAGTGGGGAGCAGGACAGGCAGATCAACAAAGTACATTGCTGAGGGGAGCTGCAGGAGAGTCAGGAGAGGTCTGCCGCACCATATGGATCACCTCTGGGGTGGGGATCGAACTCATGCTGAAGTGGCTTTAGCTTCTGTGCTTTAACCCGCTGCGCCATCAGGGAGGTCCCAAAAACACAGAATTTTTTTTTAGATTTATTTATTCATACAGAACTGGGGTACAGGCCCGAGATGCGGAGGGTGAGAGGATTCACCAGAGACAGAGTGGGGAGCAGAACAGGCAGATTGACGAAGTACACTGCTGAGGGGAGCAGTGGGCGGGTCAGGAGAGGTCTGCCGTGCCATGTGGATCTCCTCTGGGGCGGGCAGACGGAAATCGAACTCATGTGGAAATGGCTTAAGCTTCTTAGTGCAGTGCTTTTACCTGCTGCGCCACCAGGGAGGGCCCAGAATATTTTTTAAGGGAAGAGAGGCAACTTGTAACTGACAGTTACAAATCTTTGTTTTTATTTTAGTGGTTACACTTAAAATTCCAAGATAGATATGATCAGAATAACACATTGGGTTATCAGATTTTATAATCAGAAAGATTGACCTGTGTATTCTTTTCTGCATTTTTTTCAGAAAATAGCATAAAGGGCACAAAAAGTGTGGTGGACATAAGTTCTAGTATTCATCTAGTAGGAATTTCAGGAGGAGAGAGAAGAATGAGTGAAGAGGGAATAAAATGATGGGAGAAATTTTCTTTGAGTTAAAGAAACACAGGGCATTCAGACTAAGAACCCGTTCAGTGCTGAACAGGGTGGTTGAGAAAATACCCTTCACAGGTTACCCACCAAAAATGTACTACTCTATGGGTAGAGGACAGCAGATAATTCAAGTATTTTCTGAAAAGCCCAGAACATCCCCTGTGTGCCAGGCACTGGGCCAGAAATTTTGGTACAAAGTTAGATGTCGTTCTTAGCATTGTGGAGCTCTAGTTAAGTAAAGGGGAACATATTAATCAAATAATTATTAGAGAATTGTACAGTTTAAATTTCAGTTGGTAATAACAAAGGATGCTTGGACAATCTATAGAGGGATCATTCGACTTAATTAAGAAGTTTAGGCAAGTTTTAAAAAATACTTTTGAAAGAGATTAGTAGAATATAGATAACTGGTCCAGTAGTTTCCCGTCACCACTGCAGATTAGCAGTGACTTTACATTTTTACTATATTATAGTTTTGGAGACCCGAAATCCTAAAATGAGCTTGTCAAGTAGGGATGTGTTCCTTCTGGAAGCTCTAGGGGAGAGCCTCCTACAGTATCCAGAGGATGCCTACATTATTTGTGGCCCTTTTCGTCTGCAAAGCATAGCATCTTCCAGTCTTTGACTCTGCTCCTTTTGCTTTCTTTCTCACTCTGATTCCCATTTTCTTCTTAAAAGAACCCTTGTGGGTACCCTATGTTCATCTGGGTAACTTAGGATAATCTTTTCAACGAAGTTGCCACATAAGATAATATAGTGCCAGGAATTAGAGCATGGCTATATGGGGGGCATTATTCTCTCTACCACATGGGAGAAAAGAGTATTCCAGAACATGAGAAGAACATTACTGAAGTCCTACGATGAAAGGGAGCATGGAGTGTTCTTGAAAATGAAAGATGGCTCCCTGGAATTAAAGTGTGGAGTAAGTGGAAGCATGGAGCAAGATGAAGCTAGAGACAGCATGGGCCAGATATATAGGGCTTTGCAAACCACTGGTAGGCTTTGGACTCTGTAAACACAGAAATATGTCACTGAGGGGCTTATGTATGACTTCCATGGATGACTTTATATGATTAAATTTTTCAAAGGTTACTTTTGTTGCAGTGGGAAGAATAGATTGAGGATGTGGGAAGAAGAGTAGATGTGAAAGGTCCTGATAAGAGGAGGCTGGAGTGATCCCCTTGAGAGAGGATGAGTCTGGATTAGAGGGCAGTGATAGCACTGGAGATGGGCTTAGGAGCTGTTCACAATGTATTGGTGTCGGAATGAGAGGACAGTGAGGTTCTAGTTTTCTGGACTGAGGTAGAGGGAGTGATCAAGGATAAGTCTTAAGTTCTGGATCTTGTAGCTGGATAGATGATGATGCTCTTCACTTGGTAGGGGGTGATAGAAAAAGTTCTGCAGCATGATTTGCAAGAGATCATAAATTAGAGGTGATTTTGAATCACTGGGGTGGCACTTGGGTACCTCAGAGAGCTGGAGTAGCTTTTGTTATGGGCGTCATTTTTGAGTAACTGGTTGTTGAAGATACAGAGATGTATACGGTCACCTGGTGTTGTAGACTCTCCTGCAGTTAATTTCAGGAAAGAGAAAGATCACAAAGGAAGACAGAGAAGCTACAATAGAAGAAAATACAGTGTCGTAGGATATAAGGAAAGGAATCAGGAAAAGTATTTACTTATCAATGAATATTTTAAAAGGAAAGGAATTCGTTTTAACTAAAGGTAGATTCAGTAATTGAAATTTGAAAATACCAAAGTAAGATTGTTCTTGAGGTGATCTTATTTTAACGTAAATAAGTAGTAGAATTAGGAAAGTCCTAGGAAAGTTGAGAAAACTGGACTACCAGTGGACAATTCAAGTACCATGAGGCAGCCTCTCTTGTCTTCTGACTGACTGTCCACTACACAACTGTTAATTAATACTTTAATTAACTGTATAATTAATACTTGAATGGGAAATATCGGACAATTAATCAGTGGAACCCAAGTACCTTTGGCTCTACTTCTGTTGATTTCCTTGGCCACCTTTGCTTCTCCCTGAAAATATGACAAGGCCATATGTCATGCTGCTGGCATCTTTCCAGGTGTAGCCCCTTGAAGAACATTGTTCCTAACAGGACAGGCTGAGTTAGGCTGTGGGAACTAACAACCCTAAAATCTCAGTGGTTTAAACAACAAAGGTTTTTCTTTTTTTGCTCAAAGTACATGTTCACTAGGGTTGGCAGGGGCTTGGGCATCACTCAAAATCCACGCTGATCGAACAGTTGCCCTCATCAGTGTTCCTGGATGTTGTGCTCAGTAGAAATGACAGCTGCAAAGGGTCTCTCTGCAGCTAAGAATGCACGCCAGTGACGCGTCTTCCTTGGCTGTGTGTTTAGGGTCAGATTTATTATAAATGTAAACCCGTATTTTTATACTGTTCCCAGTGACTGTGCATTTCGTATTGTAATTGACAAAGAACTCATTTTAGGATCTGAAGACCTGAATTTGCCACATGTTAAGTATTTGCCTTAGGCTTTTATTATGGATTCTCTAGTGTACCTGCCAGGTTAAGAAACTTGAGTGTGTAAATAATGGCATGATCTAGGATCACGTCCTTGCCAGGTGAGATCAAGGCCTTACCCTACAATTGTTTTTAACATGAGATTTAATGTCTTTATTTTTTATCAGTTCTTTGATTTTACTTATTTTCTTATGGATAAGCCATGTGGAAAACAGATGTAGTTTTATGGGTTTACCTTGACATCCTTCGATTATTGTTCTTCTGAAACTGTGTTTTGATCTCTTAATTATACCTGTCAATTTGAGATTATACCTGTCAATTTTGAAATAGTAGTGTTCTTCTGTATTGTCTTTGAAAAATCTTTTTACATAATTGCTATCATTATTTTGTTTCAGTTTCAATAGTAATGGGAATTCCCACAGTGAAGAGAGAAGTCAGATCTTACCTCATAGAAACTCTTCATTCTCTTATTGATAATCTGTATCCTGAAGAGAAGTTGGACTGTGTTATAGTAGTCTACATAGGAGAGGTAATTTTTCAATTGTGACCTTTTTTTTTTGCCACATATAGTCTATAAAAGTTGAGACCATAATTGAATATTTGAATGTGCTTTTACGAGCATTTAAATGTGTGAATGTCAGGTAATATATTCCATCTGATATTTAAATGTTAGTCTGATTTGTTTGTCTTGGCTTCACTTCTGCAGTTACAACCAGGAGCACTGATTGGTTATAAGTAGGATGACATTGTATACAGAGGTCTGTGAGAATTCGTGTGTCCCCATTTCTCCAGGATCTACATTTGGAGATTGCCACCAATGTCTGAGAGTTACAAAAAATAAAGAAAAGTTGGCCTGTATTGTGGTTTCATCATCTTTTTGTGGTCATCCCACCCCTTCTCTGATGTCTTATGGGCAAGCTTTGTCTGTCCATAACAAATTAGTCAACTTTTCCCAAACTTCTGTTCTTCTGGGTTTCCCATTTGTTTATTAAAACAGAGTCTCTACATCACAGTATTCTTAACTCTCTGCTCTGGTCATTTACTCCCACCTCATTGTGTAGTGGCCTGGTGTGTTCTTATGTTTGTTGTCATGCCTAAAACGTTGCCTCCTCTTTGCGCTTTGTTTCTCACCCCTCGGGTTCCAGCTCATCCCTCTTAGTCCTTATCCCTCCATAGTCGCCTATTTGAAACTAGTGTGAGGTCAGTAAGCAAAGGTAAATTTACTTTTTGCCAACATTTGAAATAAATTGGGAATATTTGTAAAGGTATAAATTATCTTTGGCCCATCCTAACATATGAGGAGAAAAGTGAGAGAAGAAAAGGACTGGAGAAGAATACATATAGTCAGTGTAGGGGATGTCTATGCTGACTTCTTCTCTTTTTCTGTATAGTATTTCCTTTTTTTTCTGGAAGGGAAGACCATAAAATACTCCTGGAAGGAGAAGAGAGACAGAAAAGTAATTATTAGCCATAGTTTTGTTCTTTGCCCCCCTCTGGTGGTTTCTCCCTTTGCCATCCCTTGGGCATATATTATACAGACATTTATAGAATGCGAGGTTTTGAACAGTGAGTGCTGATGTATCAGTTGGCCTCAAGTGTCTATGATATGATTCAAGTGAGGGTTATTCAGATTTTAAGATTCCATCATTTTTGTGTTCTTTTATTTAGAATTCAACTGTCTATCTTATGTCTATAACCTCATAATTTCTGGTTGTGTTACACAATTTATTATTTATAATACTTCTTGTCCAACTGCTGTTATTTATTTTTATTACTCATGATCATCTCTGACGAAACATTTTCCTGCATTGCACTCTGGATTTTAGCAAAATATTTTTTTCCTATTCCATTCTTTTTATTTTGTGAATCCTGGTCTCTCGTTCTCTCTCTCTCTTTCTCTCTCTCCATCTGTCTGTCTGTCTCTGTCTCTCTGCCTCTCTCTGTTTCTCTGTCTCCCTCTGTCATTATGAGGAAATGTCTCTCTCCCATTATGAAAATTAAAAGTGCCGGGTATTTACTTTACCAGTTTGGGCATGGGCATGTAACGTGGGCTTGGCCACTTGGATATTCCTCTCCTGTACTGTGAGAGAAACTTTATTTTCATATGACACAGAAAACCCCCAAAGAGAGAAAATTTTTTAGAAATATAGGGAAATCTATCAAGATGGCTAAATATAGGATCAGTTATATTTATATGTCAGTAACCACAATTGATGAAAGCATATTTGGAAAAATGTTTTCTTTAAAAAGAAAAAAAAAAGCAGAGGTGGTTGTGGGGCCTTCCCTTCTGGTGGTAGACAAGGCTGCCGGCCCTGGGCACACTGGAGCCCCGCAGCGACCGGGCTCCTGGTGCAAGGGCTTTGCAGGTTCTGACATCATTGCAGCTGATATCTTTGGGTTGTGGTTCACCCTATTTTTGCCACCTTGCTAACCTGGTCCTTCAGTCTAGCTGGAAGTTCTATGAATTCTGCCCCATTGTCTCACTAAATTGTTTTTCTGTTTATTTGTTGCAACTAAGATCCAGCTAACATAGGTTGTAATTTGTTAAGACAAACACAGATAACTTTAATTATTCAATAGCCATTACCTAAATGGCTAAATATAGCAGTCAATGTAGAAGAGGTTGATGACCAAATGCTATTCCAAGTGAAAGAAAGAGATTGAGGTTTTGAGCTTGGTTTTAGGCAGAATATTCCCTAAACTGTCTTTTGGGTTTATTATTTATTTTTTTCTAATTTTCTTTTCTCACCCCAAGTTTGCTTTTAGCATTGTTATTTTTTTCTGCTTTTGTTTAATAGTTTTTAAAACATTTTGGCTAAGTTGTTAGATATATTTTTAATTTAAAAAAAAGCATGCTACCTGCTTAGTGAGATAAGCCAGAAAGAGAAAGAAAAATACCGGATGGTTTCACTCATAGCAGGCGTATAATGGACCAGGCGAGAAAATAACAAAAAGAATGAACAACCATATACCAGAGACATTTTGTTGGGGTGGAGTGGGGAATGGGATCAAAAAATGGGGAAGGGAGGAGGGAAGTGCACGGGATTTTGGTGATGGCACACGGGTGACTTGGTGATGGGAAACCCGCAGGGATTACAATTGAGATGGAAAAAAAAAAAATGTACAAAATGATGTAAAAACAAACTCATAAAAAAAGGGGGGGTCTTGAGACTATGCCAAAAAAAAAAAAAAAAGCATGCTACCACTTAATGTCATGGTCTCTGAGGTATTAAATTTTCCTTCAAGTTTTTTGTAGGATAGGAAGTGGAGTTTGAGGGAAGTGACTTAGTTTATATTAGCTAGGTCAGTAGCTGCAGAGGCAAATCTTCAAATCTAGGTTTTATGTTCCCAAGCATAAAAATCTTTCCCTACAGCATGGTGTGTCTGTTTTCTCATCACTTGTAGTTTAGATATTTCTGAGGAAGCAGAAATAGTTTCCATGTATAAGTTTTCTCTTGAATTGCAGACAGAAATTGAAAATAATAAAAACTTAAGAGTATTAACAAGTACTCAGTGATAACGGTGCAATAAAATGCAAATCCAATAAGTTATGTGAACATTTAATACTTTATTTAATATTGAAAGTACTAAAAGTTAAATAAAAGTATTGTAGTTAAGTTGTTTTTTTCTTTCCCAGACAGATATTGATTATGTGCATGGTGTTGTAGCCAACCTGGAGAAAGAGTAAGTTGTTCTTAATTATGGAAATGAAAATGCTTTATTATTATCTCTTGACTTTTTGCTAAAAGAAAATACCTGTTATAGCTCATTCCTCTGTGGATACCAGTGTTCTGTGGACCACCTATACATTGTCAGAAAGTAGGTGAATATGTAAATTGGTATATTTCATTATAAGGAAGATGTGCGTGAGATATGTATATAATACTAGAAATAGTCTTTAATCTTAATGAATAGAGAGTGCGAGAAATGAGATTACTTAAATCTTTTACCCTGTTTATAAAGCAAAAGGTTTCCTGTTATCACATCAGCTAGTCATGTAGCAGTTTCAAGCCTCAGTGCAAAACTCTAAGTCTGCTTTTTTGTCCTAGAAAGATTAACAACTTATTGTGACTAAAGCACATAATGGGTAACAGATAGAAAATTTAGTAAGTTTCAGATATTATATATATGTGTGTGTGTGTGTGTGTGTGTGTGTGTGTGTGTGTATAAACACACATATGTGTGACCTTAGTAGTTTTAAGAGTATCATAAAAATTTAATTAAAAATTAAAAAAAAGGACTTATATCTGTCCCTCCCCCAATAAATACCTTATTTTCTAGTTAAAAAGAAAAGCAACAATTATTTTGCTGCTTTTTAATTTTTCGGATACTTTTTAGGAACGCACTACTTGCAGCTGGCCTGGGTTTTTATGCTGCTCTACGGTATTTTACCTGGGGCCAGCTTGATTCCAGCACAGGGGAGCCTGCCTTAGCTCACAGATCAGGCACAGCGACCATGGTGGGGTCAGAATTCAGTAGTGGATGACAGCCATATATGTGAGAATGGGAGACCCTAGATGTACAGTAGATAGCACGCTTTCTTTAGCTACCTTAGAAGAAGCGTTTAATTTGAAAATGATGATAATGTAAAAAAGCTTTTTAACATTTTTAAGGCATGACTGAAAAAACATGATTATCGAAAAAAATCTATATTCTGTTAAATAAAATCAATAATGAAATGCTTTATGCAGCACATTGTGGCCATGTATATAAAGCTAACCTTTCTCATGATAGATTTTCTAAAGAAATCGATTCTGGCTTAGTAGAAATAATATCGCCTCCTGAAAGTTATTATCCTGACTTGACAAACTTAAAGGAGACATTTGGAGACTCGAAAGAACGAGTAAGGTGAGCCTGTGTTGTTTAAAATCCACCACTCTTATGAATATAATATCTAATCAATGTATATATCTTGTTCATTGAAGCTTAACAGATTTTAGGGTTGAGAAAATTAATGTGGCATTTCTGATGAAAGTGTTGAATTTGGTAAGCCATAATTTTTAAAATGATTGGCTTTATGGTGTATATGAGTATATTCAGTATAACTCAAAAATCAATGCAGTTTGAAATCTCATGTCCCTGTGTGATGAGAGATAATTTAATAGAAATGATAAAAACAATACTACTGTTCTATAATATTGTTTCAGTTGTATATCTAATCAATTAGATTTATTTGTGAACCTCATCAATTAGATTTATTTGTGAACCTCTCAAATTGTAGGATTTAAGAGCTTCATGGTATTGTTTAAAACAAAATAATCTAAGAGATACTTGGCATTAGTTTTGCATTTTCTGTAACTGGAAAGAAAAGAAAGATACTGTTTGGGGGAAGAGATTCATTTCTGGAGTTGTTAATTTGTCTCACAGACAGGTTTGTTCACATATTAGTTGTTTCTTATTAAATGTAATAATTAAACGAAATATGTTGAATTTGGTAAAAAGATCTAGTACTCTAATTAAATTCAGAACTACCTGTAAGATCAATTTTGGAGATGTTTACTTAGTATGATTCAGAGCTTTTGTTTTATTGTATTTTTTTTTTTAAGATTTATTTATTTGTGCATACAGAACTGAGGCACAGGCCAGAGGCTCAGGGGCGGTGAGAGGCTTCACCAGAGACAGAGTGGGGAACAGAACAGGCAGATCAATGAAGTACACTGCTGAAGGGAGCAGCGGGCAGGCCAGGAGAGGTCTGCCACGCCATATGGTCACCTCCCCACCTCCGGGGCAGGCGGGAATCGAACTCATGCGGAGGTGGCTTTAGCCTCTCAGTGCTGTGCTTTAACCCGCTGCACCACCAGGGAGGGCAGTATTTTTTTTTTTTTAACTGACTTTTAGGACTTCTGGAACTTCTTCTCATTTAACATTAGGCACTGTGTTTCATGCAGGCTCTCAAGAATACTGAAAGTACTTAATATGATATTCTGGTGTTTTATTTTTAGCATTTATACTAACTTTTATGTATGTACCCAGTTCTGGGCACCAAAGCAGTTCTCCCCGAAAACTGTATTTTGAAAGCGCCAGTTTTACCATCATTAAGATGTTATAGAAAAAGGACTGTGGGTCCTTCCTGTGAGTCACGGAAGTTTAAAAAATTGGGGATTTAAAATATTTTTCAACAAATGTTCTTATTGCCGAGTATTTTGATCCTTCTAATACATGTCTCCAGAAGGGAAATAGGTACATACTTACTGACCTACATCTCCCTTTGGGGAATACATTTTGATAAAGACTCACTAGAGAAAAGTGAATTCTTTTTCACTTTCTCCTGAGTAGACATGTCATGTCTGTCTGTAATATATGGTGTATACATCATATGTAACATGTATAAGCTGTTCACATTTGTGGTATATGTGTTACAGTTTACAAAATACCATCTGTCTTAACTTGTTTTGCTAAATTTGTGTCTGATCCTAACTTCTATTTCAGATGGAGAACCAAACAAAACCTTGATTATTGTTTTCTGATGATGTACGCTCAGGAAAAGGGTATATATTACATTCAGGTAAGTAAGGTTTTTCTTCTGTTTTTTAAAGATTTATTTATGCATACAGAACTGGGGTACAGACTAGAGGTGCAGGGTCAGTGAGAGGATTCACCAGAGACAGAGTGGGGAGCAGAACAGGGTGACTGTCGAAGTACACTGCTGAGGGGAGCAGCGGGCGGGTCAGGAGAGGTCTGCCGCACCATGTGGGTCATCTCCAGGACAGACAGGTATCGAACTCATGCTGAAGTGGGTTTAGCTTTTTAGTGCGGTCCTTTAACCCGCTGCGCCACGAGGGGGGGCCAAGTGAGGTTTTTTTAACTTGAATGCTTTTTACACTTAAAAAGAAAGGAATATGAAAGGACTAGTTTCATTAAAAGAGTGAGTTTTGAAAACATAAGTGCTCTGAAACCAGCACATGGTTCTTTTCTGTATGCTGTAAAACATTTACATTTATATCGAAGATAGCCAACCTGATAGTTAATTCTCATGACCATAATGCTGCACACGTAGAGAAATTTAATAATGATACTGATTTCAGTTAACCACGTAAGCAACAAGTTACATAACTCTAGGAAGCTTTATTACTTCCAAATCTTATTCTCCTTAATGACTGAAGCTTGCATTTCATATTGGAATTTCATCTCTTTAACCAAAGAAGAGCTCAAACTTCATTCTTTGACATTGTACTTCATGCCGGCTTCATTGCAATGTGGGTGAGCACTGCCTTGGCTCTCAGCGGAGGAAATGCCAGTGATGGTAGGGCTAGAATGCAGCAGTGCATGTAAAAACAAGATACCCTGGGTTTAGATAGCATACTTCTTTACCTGCCTTTGAAAATGTATTTAATTTGGAAATAATTTTAAAACATTGTAACATACCCAAAATACTACCATAGTTGAATTTGACTGGCTGTTGCAAAACCAATGTGTAGATACTAATACTGTGATCAATAACGTCATTGAACTAAGTTAACAGCGTGCTTTTACATTTTGTTTTAAATTTCCCACCCAAGAGAGAACTAATGGACCCTTAAACCTTTTTTGTTCAGTTTAGAAAAAAATAGGAAACGGAGGAGAAAACTTCCCTGAGGCAGAGTCAGTGTGTTATTACAATAGCAGTAGCTATGAACTAACATTTATTTTATACATACTTGGAGTCAGGAATTGTCCTTTATAGTTTATGCTCTCATAGTAAGTCATTTAATACACTGCCCCCACTCCATTTTTTTTTTTTGTAAGAACAGGTTCATATAGTACATACTGCCCTATAAACTGTTTCTGCTGTCACTTAACATTTTGTGGACACCTTTAGTAATTAGACTTGTATAATTTTAATTTTCTCTTGAAATACCATTATTATGATTTCATAATGACCACATTGTTGGTCATTTATATTGTTTACAACTTTTTAGCTGATTCAAAGGTGGATCTAATGAACATTTTGAAAATAACCCACTCTACCCAAAAAATTCTGCATCAGAAAAATAGTTTATTTATATTCAAGTCCTTATATAACCTCATATGTATACTTTCTCTCAGTTAATTCATTTAATCTACAAAATATTGGTGAAAACACATTAGCCTGAAAAGTTCTCAGCTTGTCGCTAGTTTGAATACTTGTGAAGGATAGAGATCACCTGGAAAAATTGGGGGAAAACTAGAGTGAAGGAAGAGGAAGCAAAGGAATTTAACCCAGACTTCACAGTTATCCCAGGGGTGTGACTGCCTGGCTGCCTGGGTTGGGGTTCTGTCCCACCCCAGACTTTTTAATGCTTTTAGCTCTGTGCCTTAAAAAAGGCACAGAGATGATTCTTTGCTTGTCACAGATGTGCATCTAACTGGAAAAGAAATTGTCAACTGCCCTAGTGTCTGTGGAATGGGGTGATGTTTATAGCATCATACAGAGCTCATAAATGCTGTATCACAAATGAGTTGGAATTAAAGACAGTGTCTTCTGGAAAATTATTAGATGGTTCAGGCTTTTGGTAGGTGGTGCTATGTAACTGTCACTGTATAGCATCACAGGAGATACATTGTGACTGCGGGAGAAACATTGTGACTGCTTGTTCCACTTTTACTGATGATGAAATTGAAGCACTTTATTGTGCCAGCCTCACTCTCCTCCTATGGGGTCAACATCCATCAGCTGTTCAGCTGTTTGTCCCCAGATCAGTTATTCACTAGGGATTGCCAAGGGTTTTTTTTTTTTTTTTTTTTAAGATTTATTGATGCATACAGAACTGGGGTACAGGTTAGAGGTGCAGGGGTGGTGAGAGGGTTCACCAGAGACAGAGTGGGGAGCAGAACAGGCAGATCCATGAAGTACACTGCTGAGGGGAGCAGCAGGCAGGTCAGGAGAGGTCTGCCTCGCCATGTGGGTCACCTCCGGGGCTCGAACTCGCACTGAAGCAGCTGCAGCTAACATGCAGTGGTGCTTCCTAACCCTTGTGCCACCAGGGAGGGCCAACCAGGGAGTAATTTTTAATTCTGTATTTTGTAATGTTCTTATAAGCTAAGTTTTGTACAGAACTTTCCTTCACCTTAAAAAGAGGTTCATAAAGGAAAAGCAAAATAAAGGCCTTTTTTGTTGTCTTTCTTTTTAAGTAACATTATAAACTCAAGGATTAAAAAAATGTATTTGATTGCCTCAATCCTTACAGTCCTTATTCGTGTTGATACTCACATTTTTACATCATGAGCCCATTGAAATCTTTTCAACTTGGCTCTTGTATTCTTTCCATGGAAGTCTATTAACCCGTTGTGATGACTTCTCTGCTGGCTGCACACAGTGCACATTTCTGTTGCAGATCTAGAACCAGCGGCTTCTCCAAGGAAGCCTGTTTTCCGGTCAGAGGTAGATGCTATTTAGGGTCCCATTTGGGTGGTACTTCAGGTATTCACTGTTGTTTCTTTGCTTCTAAGCCTTTCAGCAAGGAAAAATTTTTATTTTTCAGAGGAACAAAACCTCCCACAAGTTTTATGAAACTACCAAATCAAATGTAAGATGATGGTTTTCCAGTTAACATTTTTTAGTTTCTACATGAATTTCTTGTACACTGAAAGGTTTGGTTTTTTAATAACATTATCCTAATAACACATTGCTTTTATTCTCTGGTATACCTAAAATTCAGAATAATGCCAACACAAGAATATTGAATCTAATTTAAATTTTCTTCCCCCCCCCCCCAGAATATATTCTGATATGGCAAAACAGTCAGAGTTCTATGTTTAAAAGTCACTGGAAAGGTTTTTTATCTTCTGTGAGTCTACTGCCAACCTGATGTGAAAGTAGATTTGTTCATTTGTAGGATTTTTTTCCTTTTTACTAGTCAAAAGCATAACATTCCACAAGTAAAAGTTATATAAAACAAGACATACACAGAACTCTCAGTTTTATCCCTCTCCACTCTACCCTGTTTCCTCCCTCCCCATGGGAACCCCATTTATTTTTGGTTTCTCCTCATTTTTAAAAATGAGGTAAATGTGTATCTATGGTATCCTACCTCTGACACTATACTTGTGTTCTATAAGCAACATTTTGCATCTTTTTATTTGCCTCTGTAAGCTGGAATCACTATGAGAGATTTGTTAGATTTTCAGAGTTGCCTTTGCCATGACCAAAAACTAACCTCAGAGAAACAGATTCCTTCAGCAGCTCTGCTCCTCACTGGAATCTGGAGACAGCTCACGTTTGCCTGCAGGTCAAAGTGTTCTGCTATGTTTTCAGCAGGCACCTTGACTATTTCCTCTCCATCTTTATATGTTCACCTTAGTCCTAAACTTGGTTTTGACTTTACTTACTGGAAAAACTTGAACTGCCTCGTGTTTTCTTTGGCTTTGACAAAGGCTTGGGTGTCGGCCTCTTCCAGAGAGCAGAGTTAGGTGCCGGCAGAGATCTTCACTCTGTTGTGTTTACCTCTAGTTCCTAAAAGGTCTCTTTTCCATTGGCTGATACATGCCCAGGGTTAAATGCAGTGTTTAGAACATAATAGGATCTCAATAAGTATTTGGTGAATTAATATCATGTCTTCATGTCTTTCCAAATACTACCTCTGTTTGTTCACAGATAAGAACAACATTTATAAGACTTAAATACATGGAAAAAATCTAAAAGCTAATATGCATAAATAGTACTTAGCAGTTAACTAGAAATAATAATGTAAACTAATTCAAGAAAAGTTTTCTTAGGGTATTAAAATCATCTTAAGACTTAAAATTTTGAAAGGAGATTCAGGGGAGAAAGTCTCTGCATATACCCATGACCCCTGATCTCCATCACCTCCCTTTTGAGCTAGAAAAATTCCAAGTATAGGTAACATGGAGCTGTTGAAGCACATGGGTTAACTGTTACCCTGAGTGTTACACCTGTTTAAGCAGTTTTAAGATATCCATAAAATGTTAAAAGGGAATCTATCCTTCAGAAATAAAAAGCACTAATCTGTAGGTATGAGCATTCATTGCACAACTGTTACACTGATAAAAAATTGGAAACAACTTGGGTGTTGGCCGGTGTACAGCAATGAGTTGAATGAATTACATTGTGGCTTTTTTTTTGTACATTGATACCATGAAATATTATGTATCTCTTACATAGTATGGTTTCAGTATGCACTTACTAACCAGAAAAGATTCATAAAAAAAATAGAGAGAGAGAAAAACATGGTTTCATCATATGGGCCCTTTTTTTTTTTTAAGATTTATTTATTTATTCACACAGAACTGGGGTACAGGCCAGAGATGCGGAGGGTGAGAGGATTCACCAGAGACAGAGTGGGGAGCAGAACAGGCAGATCCACGAAGTATACTGCTGAGGGTAGCAGCGGGCGGGTCAGGAGAGGTCTGCCACGCCATGTGGTCACCTCCAGGGCAGCCACTCATGAAAAGTGGCTTTAGCTTCTTAGTGCTGTGCTTTAACCCACTGCGCCACCAGGGAGGGCCCATACGGGCCCTTTTTAATGAAAATGAAAAGGGGAATGGGAGTTATGGGTGGGTCTAGATGTGCTATAGTTCACACAGAAGACGTCAAATGGACGCACACATCTTTTAACAGTTGGTCACTTCAACTAACTGGATAAAGTGCAAAACAAGAAAACAACTTGTATTTTCTTTGAATTTTGGACATGTATTGTGCAAAAAAATTAAAAGGTTTCTTTGAAAAAGAAAAAAGCATATTGTGAAATCATGGTAGGCACTGTAAAAGAACCAGTAAATGATAATTTATGGAGTGCTATTGTTATTTTCCACATCAAGGAAGTGGTTTATTTGCTTTGTTACATGCATTTTTCATTTTAATTTCCTTTTTATTTTTATTTTCTATTTTTATTTTTCTACTTTCATCATTTTTAAGCATTGTTTTCTTTTATTGTCCTAAAACTGATTTTCCCCCCTATATCAAAGAATGTTCCATGTTAAACTTTCCTTCTGATTTATTAATGTTTGTTTAATATTCTTTAGCTTGAAGATGATATTATTGTCAAACAGAATTATTTTAACACTATAAAGAATTTTGCGCTTCAGCTGTCTTCTGAGGAATGGATGATACTAGAGTTCTCCCAGCTGGGCTTCATTGGTAAGAAAAGTGTCAACATCATCTACTTTTCAGAAATAACTGAATTTTGCAGTCTTAAACTAATTTGTTTATAAAGTAAAGTTGTATTTTTTCCTATGGAAAACTTGCTTTTGATAAAATTGAACCTAGGTGAATTTATGTATTTGAAATGAGGAAAGTTGATCCAAAATGGATTGCGATTTCTAAGGTTAGAGTATATATGCTGAGGCTCTCGGACACTGTCAACACATACACCAGCCAGGTCCTGGTAGGTGGCCTGACTCCTGACACTTCCAGTTCCACATGTGTATAGACCCCAGTGCTTCAGCAAGATTGGTTAACTTTAAGAAGAATGCTATGCCAGTGGTTTTCTGATGTGACTTTGTTGTTCTTGTTTAGTGATTAACCTGTATTCATTTGCTACTTTCATGGACTGATCAGGGTACTCATTTTAAACTTTTTTTAAAACTAAAGTACCCATAAAGAGAGTTATGTTTAAAGTTGAAGAACTGAAGGATATTTACAGGTTTTAGAACTCCCGGAGGATACCATCTTACTTCTTACAGTGCTTTATTAAAGCTGTAAGTTATTAAAGATGGGACCTTTAGTCCTATTAATTACTTTCCTCAAGCCTTGATTCAGAAAACACCTTTCCTTGTAAAGGTTTAAGTAGTCCTTTTTTTTTGCATTTACTAAGGTTTTCTTTAACCACTAAAACCTCTTTTAAAATTCTATTAAAACAACATTAGGAAAAAATCTTTTAAGACTTATTTTTAAATCATTTCAACCACAGTTGTATTGGAGACAACTCAAGAAAATGTTAAAGTAAGTTCATTTTTGATAATGCAAGTAGGAAAATTATTCATGGTGATTGCATAAGCTTTCACGTGTGTAGCATACAGATTTCATTTATGTAAGTCATTTGATCTTTGGCTTCTTCATTGCAGCTCTTGACTAGAATATCTTTTTCAGGTAAAATGTTTCAAGCACCAGACCTCACCCTGATTGTAGAGTTCATATTTATGTTCTATAAGGAGAAGCCCATCGATTGGCTTTTGGACCATATTCTCTGGGTGAAAGTCTGCAACCCTGAAAAAGATGCAGTAAGTCAATATTTTATGAAGGCTTTTCTATAGTTCATAAAAGTGGCATTTTGGGATCTAGATTTAGTAAAGTGAACAATTAAATCGGAAGCTGAAAAAATGTTTCCACTTAATGTTTCAAGTGCTTGCCTTCTTTCTTGACCTGATAAAAAGTTATTTGTATTAGAGAAACATTTTCAGCATCAGTGCAGAACCCTGTAAGTCAGTAAAGCAGCTCTTGTATTGCTGATGAATGTTGGTGATGCTGGTAGGCTCTGGGGGGCGGATCACTGTGGACTTCAGGTGGTGAGCTTGTCTGGCCATTTGTTTTCTTTGGATCTGCTGTCTATTACCTCTATTCTGTCTATTACTATCTATTCTGTCTGTTACCTCTATTCTAGTGTTAGTAGTAATGCTAATGGCAAAAACTCTTTTGAGAAAAATTACAGCTTTAACATCCAGTCAATTTGGAAGTTCTTTCAAATGGAAATGTCTCACAAAAGTCACTTGTAATGTCAAAAGTCACTTGTAATGTCTTTTTGACCCAAAACTTAGAGAAGTCATTGAAAATAGAGCCCACCCAGGCATAACAAGAGAGCTGGGCTGTGGGGCACTGAGCCATTATGCACCAAGGGCCTTGGGCATCATGTGCTTTTAGTACTTTGTATCTTTCTCCTCCATTGTCCTCCATGCACAACTGTGAGTTGAAACCTAGGTATCCCCTAATCATGCTGACATGGATCTGGATGGAACTTTTAACATCGTTTACTTGCTTGAGGTGAAATTATTGCTTCCGCTTTTCAAATGGACTCATGCAACAAAAGATGGCTTTTACTATTTGCAAATCCTTCATTATTTGATTAAAGGCATTTGCATATTTGAACCTATGCTTTACTTTATAGTTTCTGCATTTTAAATGTCAAGTCTATATTGAAATCTCTTGAAGGATGGTTGAAATAAACCCTTAACTTTAATTTCTGCATCTTGCCTGTTTACCAAGATGCAGATCCATTAATGCCTCAGAGAGGAGGACCAAAAGGAAATATTTGTCTTGGAAGTATAAGCTGATGTTGGGTTTTCTTTTCAGCATTCTTCTAAAGGACTTCTCATGTTTCAGGTGAGGGCAGGATTTCACTTTGTAGTGTGATAGTAATGTGAGTGTTTTTTGCCCGTTTAGAAGCATTGTGACAGACAAAAAGCAAACCTGCGCATTCGCTTCCGACCTTCCCTCTTTCAGCACGTTGGTCTGCATTCTTCTCTGACAGGAAAAATCCAGAAACTCACGGTTGGTGATTTGACTTTATATTTCTCCTGGACATATGATTTGTCACTTAATGTATAATCATTTTTCATCCACTGAAATAAAAATAAGCTAGATGTTATCTAATAGCATCTATCTTTCTTTTTAGGATAAAGATTATTTGAAACCATTGCTTCTTAAAATCCATGTAAATCCTCCTGCAGAAGTATCTACTTCTCTGAAGGTCTACCAAGGACATACACTGGAAAAAACATACATGGGAGAGGATTTCTTCTGGGCGATCACCCCAGTAGCTGGAGATTATATCATTTTTAAATTTGATAAGCCAGTCAATGTAGAAAGGTTGGTGATTATTGAGATAATTATAAACCAGATCTCTTATACTAAGGATGGAATTTTTTTTTTAAGATTTATTTATTTATGCACACAGAGTTGGGGTACAAGCCAGAGGGCAGGAGCGGTGAGAGGCTTCACCAGAGAACAGATTGGGGAGCAGGACAGACAGATAGATGAAGTAGAGCAGTGGATGGGTCAGGAGAGGTCTGCCACGCCATGTGGTCACCTCCGGGGCCAGGGATTGAACTGGCACTGAAGTGGCTGTGGCTAGCTTGCAGTGCTGCGTCCTAACCCATTGCGCCACCAGGAAGGGCCCTAAGGATGGAATTTGTGTGTGTGTGTGTATAATGTGGGGAGACAGTGAGTCTGATGTTGGGTCCTAACTTACATGTGCTACAACTCAATAATATAAAGGGTGTGTTACTTTCTGATATATCAGCATTTAACATGTTTGATAAAATTGTTTATAAATGATATATTTAGTACAGGTTTTTAAAACTTATGTAGAACTTTCCCTCAAAACCTCAAATTAGTTTTCATGTTCTTACCCTACATTATCCTTTAAAATTTGATTGAAAGTTTATTGATTAATCTAAAAATTTAGATTTGACCAACTGTAACAGTTTGCAGTCAGTGATTCTGCAAATGTTGGATTTTTTTTTTAGTGTATCGTGGAAGAATTTAAGGTTATTTTTGCATCTGTAGATAAGAATGACTTGTGGTTGTATGACCCAGTATTCTAAATCAAAGGTGCTTTATAAAAATAACTCTTGGAAAATGCTGGAATTGTTGATATAGCTAAGGAGGAGCTTCTTAGTAGGGTCCCCTAACCTTTACAGTTGGAAATCAGATACTTACCAAAGCTAATTTCTGTCCACAGATACCATATTTGAACTATTTTATAACATTTCTGTAACTATTGTTTATAATGGATATTTTTAACGAGTATTATGCTCTGTCAGTTTTTACAAACTTCTTGATACCGTCCTGTTGCCAAGGGAATGTCTCCAGTGTACAGAGGAAGCGCAGCCTCAGGAAGCTAGTTTAGTTGCTAAAGGGAAAAATCCTAGAAAATGAAAGACCCAGGATTTGGATCCAGGTCATTTGGACTCCTAATCACAAAGTACTAAGTTTTAGGATGAGACTGAAGTGTACTTCTATGCCTGATCTAATTTCCACCTTCCCCCATACAGTATCAAACAGTGAGAACATCATACTCACGCCCAGAGTGTTTTATCTTCATCACAGTTATGCATTACAATCTTATCTCTTCTAGTGTCAATACAGTATTGACATATGGAACCATTTAGATGTGTAGAGTTGCCTGACTTTCAGCCTGCTGACAACTAGATTTCATTGTACCAGCTAAAACTTGCCTTTGAAGTAGCCATGACCTGCCATGACCTATAGCTGTTCTGGTGAAAATTTTCTCTGCTGTCATGTTAATTGCTACAATTTTGATCATCCCTCTCCTGACATCAAATATTTAAACTAAAGTAAACATTCCATTTTAAGTAATGTAAAATTTTTGTCATTAAAAATAAATCTGTTAAGTACATTATCATATTAAGCAGCAAGCAAACCCCTTCCTGACAGAAGGCACAGCCAGGGCCCAGGAGGCCCCGACCCGCAGCTTGATGTCCTCAGCTGGGTTAGAAAGCTTTCTCTGCGCCAGGGCCATTGTTTTAAATCTTCTGTAGAGTCTAGGCTGATCCTTTACTTTTATGTTTGTATTTTCAGTTATTTATTCCACAGTGGCAACCAAGAACATCCAGGAGATATTCTGCTGAACACAACGGTGGAAGTTTTGCCTTTTAAGGTATGACTGAAATTTTTCCTTACTTTTTCCTAAGAACCAGTGCCAGTAGAGTTGGTCTGAGGCTGTACTTGTTCGTGAGGCAAAGGGAGAGTCTCGTGATTGCCGGACCTCAGTGGTAGGATTAGTCTTTTTAAAAAATAGGGGCACTTGCTGTGATGTCCTGTTTGCCTTATTCAGAGAGAAAGCCTTTATGTTTTTTCTGACTGGGAAATAACTTGGAAATTTGCACTAGAAAAGGAAATCTTTTTTTCTACTTTAGTGTTTATCTGCTGTTTTTATTTTGAGTCCAACAAAAGCATGTAGCTTGAATGCCTCTTGATAAATATACAGCATTAAGTTCTTGGTCTCTAAAAAATGCTTAGATTTCCAGAAGGCAGCACACACTGTTTGTGAATGCATGTAGTGGAAAGTAGTGCTCTATTTAATTGATTCAAATTTAAAATCAGTTATAATAAAATCTTTCTCACCCCCCATATGGTGCATACAAACTCAGATGATGGTTACAAAAAAGAGTACTTGTATTGATGTGCTTTTTAAGGTTCAAGACTGAGATGGCATTTCTCTTTCAGCAATAGTTCTGCCACAGGCACCACTGTTATATTTACTAAGATATATGAACTAACTTTGCTTTGTTCTTAAAAGAAGTAATTGTAATATTAATGTTTTCATTCTATTTTAGCATGAAGGCTTGGAGATAAGCAAAGAAACCAAAGACAAACGATTAGAAGATGGTTATTTCAGAATAGGTAATACCTGCTTTAAACTTGTAAAATATCCTTTACTTTTCTGGACTTCAGATTCTGTGCAGATGTCCAACATTTTAAAGATGACAGTTAGCAACATACTCCAAATCTGGTTCTTGTATTTTAGTACTTCTGTTATTTCGACCAAAATAAGATTCCCGATAAAGAGTTCGTTTACTGGTTCTTCTTCCTCCTGTCAGTTATGTCATTGTTGATACTCAGTGTATCAGCTGGATCCACAGCCTCACCCTGGGTGACCTCAGCCACTCTCATTGGCTCAGCAGCCATGTACCAGAATCTGTGCCCCTGGCTCCCCTCCCCCACCCCGCCTTCAGATCTACTTTGATATGCTGCACCTGGCTGCCTGGAAGCCACATAGCCGCCTCTGAGCATCTGTAATGTGGACACCAATTTTTCGAGCTCCCTGTTCATCTAGCCCCCTAAGCTTGGGAGATAACCCTAGCACCCACAGGACCTGTGCATTAGCATGAAATATGTCTGCCTGTATCTGAACATACAGTCACCCTCTCATGGTGCTGTGGGCCTTCTGCCTGCTTCCAAATCAGTGAATGTTCATATATCTTCTCTAAATGAATGCTTTCCTTAGTGATAAGCTAGAGGGAATGTTACTAAGTCAATATTGCAGTTACACAGTACAGAGCAGTTTACATAGGATGAGTGATACTCAGTTGTGGCACAATAATTGTGCCATAGCCCTGACTAGTCGCAATGTAATTTTGGTAGGTGAGTTTAATTATTTCCATATTTGGGTTATATTTTATCTCACCTATAGAAATATACATAAAATTAGTATATATAGTATTATATATATATAGTATATTATATATAGTATTCTGATATTTATAACCCATATTGTCGACTATTTAATTGCTAAGAATATGTTCTAGTTTGTGCAACTTGCTTAGGCAATGGAGACTATGTTAAATAATCGCTGCAGAAATTTAAGGGTAAACATCAATTCATAGGTATTTGGAAGTAGAAGAGAACGAAAGGCTGTTCAAACTTGAAGTCTTGTGTAACAGAAGCATCAGCAACAAAGAGCAACTGATGTTTTCTTTCTAACATACAAAAGTTGCTTTCTCACAACTCTGCCTCAGTGGAAAGTTGTGTGAGAGACTTTGTGGATCTTCTTCCTAGCAGAACAACCATAACTGGTGAAAATTATTAAAAAAATATACAGGTGGAACAACATTGACTCTGAAAATCTAGGAAATTTCAGCAGGAACATTGAGTTTGGCCTGTGAGCTGTGAGACAGAGCCCTGCTGTCAGCGGGGCCTGGAACCAAGAACTCCAGGCCCTGGCTGGATCCCATTTGGGGTTCCCTGGTGTCTCCCCAGGAAAGCAGGTCATCTGCTGTGCTCCAGACAACTCCCCTTCTCCCGACCTCCCTCCCAGAGCAGGAGCTGTGGTGCAGGCTCTGTGGGTGAGCCTGGGTGCGTGGACTTGGTGGCCGTCAGCATGCCTGTGCCCACGCACAGGGCCGTGCAAGTCAGGAAACAAGGGGCTGCTCGCAGACGCCATGGCCGCCCGTGACCAGGCGTCACTCCCGTGGCCGCCCGTGACCAGGCGTCACTCCAGTAGAAGCCCAGGGCTGTGCTATGTGTAGTACAGACTTTCTCCGGGGGAATGACTTACTTGAAAAAGAGCTTAGGGAATTTCAGGCTTAAGGGCATTGTGGAAAAACAGTGGAGATTTTGGTAGTGAGCCATTAAGAGGAAACTGATAGCTGAATTCGAGCTAAAATTTAGCCCATCCGGAAGTTTGACACAGAGAACTGGGGGTAGAGATAGCCAATGAGAGCCTCTTCCGGTGGGAACCAGTCAAAGACTGGCCCTGCGAAGGGTCTGGATTGATTGGCTCAGACTGTGCCAGAGTGGAAGTAAGTAGAGAGTCTCAGCTGGTAGCCAGTGGACCCCCGATGGTTGAAGCTGGGGCTAGCGTAGACAGGCATGGCATGACAACTAAAGGCAGTCTTGCCAAAGAAATAGTCGTCCTCCCTCCTCTGGAGAACATGTTCTGAGATGCCCAGTGGATGCCTGAATATGCAGATAGTACCAGTCGCTGTACTGTTTTTTCCTATACATGCCCATTTATGATAAGGCATAATTTATAAATGAGACACAGCAAGAGATTAAAAATATTGACCAACAAAATATCTTAGTACCTTAATTGTACCTTAGTATTTTTGGACAGCTGTGGAACTATGGAGAGCAAAACTGTGGACAAGAGGGTATTGCAGTACCGACTTACTAGAAGGGTGGAGTTAGGAGAAGGCAGAGGAGTCTTCCACAGTGAATCCGGGGAGTGGAAGAAGGAAGGCAGGGCCACTGCTGCGGGTGTGGCGGCAGCGGGTCCGCAGAGGCATGGCCTGGGAGGCCCCTCTGCGCACCAGGATTTGCGGATTCCAGCCACTGTTCAGTCACCTCCTCTTCGTTATTCCCTTCTTTCCTGTCTTTTAGCACCCACCTACCAGCCACTGGGTAATGGATGAAAGTTAAATTTGCTTGGAAATACAATGCATGCATGTGGTACCAAATGCAGGTTTAAAGGGGTAAACATAAGTCTGCTCCCCTCTCTCCCCTCCTTCCCAGCACTTCTCGGGCAATTCCTAGCATGATTTGTGTTCTTCCAGAAATACTCACAAAAATGAGAATATATTCTTCAAGACGCAAACCGAAGTAACATACTTTACAGCCTTGCTCTGCATCTTGTTTCACTGAACAAAATGCTTATGTACTGGTGAAAGATGAACATTAAAAAATACATATTTCAGATGCGCAAAAAGAAACAAATAATAAAATGCAAACGCATGCATCTCTCTATCACTGAGGATTTGCCAGTTCAGTTGTTCTTCCCTAATATTATCTTCTCCCTTCTCCAAGGGGTGCCACTGTCCTGAATTTTGTGGCTACCATTGTCACACACAGCTGTTATTATATGTGTACACTATAGCCTCAAAAATACACCGTGTTATTTTGTTTGTTTTTAAATGTGACAGGGTAGGATTGTGCAGTTAGAGTTTCTTTTTTTGCCTGTTGACACATGAGATTCATCAGTGCGCATGCCTGTACTTGGCTCATTCTCACTGCCTTGTCCATTTCATGGATGGATGTATCACTGTTCTATTTAGTCATAAAATGTGTTTCCCTCTTTTTGCGATGATTTAGCAATGATGATTTGAATGCTTATGCACATGAATGCAAACGTACCAGTTTGCATTGAATGTTCTTTGAAGTGAAGTCTTCAACAGCATTACCATCAGCTTTACTTCTTTCTTTTTATTGAGTCTTTTATTTGACTTTAATATTCTCTTCTAATCTGTCATAGTTTAGGACAGGCTGTTTGCAATTTTTGCTGTAGGGTCTATGTGTTTCTTTTGTACATGTGAGAATATATTTACTGATAAAATTGCTAGATGAACATGCTTTCATGAGGCCACTTATGTAATTTAGTAATTATTTTTCTAATGACAAGAACTCATCAGGGGACATGAGTAACAGATACTTCATTTGTTAAAATGTTTCAGGTTGCACAGTGTTTTTCAGCCAAGTTCCCTAACTCAGTGTTCAATAATACTTTTTTGTAGCACTTACTCCAACTCTTTAATGAATTAAGTGTTTGTTGAGTACAGAAATAAGCTTGTAAGTTTGACATTTTACATGAAATTGAAAGCAAACCTTTTCTGGTCAAGTCTTCCATTTGAGTGACTCTGATCTTACTGCCAGCCTACTCAGTGCGCTGTTTGACTACCGCAGGCTGCCTCGCCGTTGGCACTGCAGTCAGCAGACGAGCCGCCGGCCCTAACTGGCCACTGCCTGCTCTACAGCTCATGAGCTAAGATCTCCTTAAAAGATACATATATATATTTTAAATAACCCTCAAAGTTGAAAAATAATACAATAAGGCCAACTCCGGCTAGTTTATGTTTTTTTTCTTGACATTCAATAAAAAGAATATCCCTGAAAAAAAAAAAGTTGTATACAATTTTTTGAAGAAAAAAAAAGATTTTTTTAAAATAGATATTTTTAAATGTTTGGAAAGAAGTTATTTTAAACAATAAACATGTAAAATTATATAAAACTCAAATTTCAATCTCAAATAAAATTCTCTTGGAAGATGGCCGTGCTCATTTGTTTATGTATTGTCTGTGAGCTTTACCGCCACCCCAGCAGAGATGAGTGAGTGGCAGGGATGGAGGGATGTTCGCTCTGCTTCCTGCTGCTGCCCCACAGCCTGCAAAGTCACAGTGAAGCACTGACAGTCCTCACTGTCAGTGCTCACTGCAGCGTCACACATACTATCTTACTGTGATATTTTAAGAAAGTGTCAGTGCTTTTTCATGTCAGGACAAGAGAAATGGACTTTGAATTCTGTGCTTTTTAACACAGCGGGATGTGGATTATTTTATAAGACTAGGTGCAGGGTTATTATAGTATCGTAGGCAGTGACACAGCAACTAAAGATACAATACATACTCTGCGCCAGGATGGCTTCTAACTCACAGGATAGGGAAGGCCAGAAACATTAAAAATGTAGCGTCTCACCACAGCAGAATTTCTTTTACAAAAAAAAAAAAAAAAAATCAAATGAGGCAGTAACTAAAGTGAGTTTCCAGGTGGCTCACGTGTGTCATGTGTTAGGCAAACACCAAACCGTTGACCAACAGTGAGTTAATGAATTGTGTTTAATTGTAGCAGTGGAAGATGTGTGCAGAGATAATAAACTTACTAAACCAGTAACAGTTTGAAGAGTAAAGGCTTTAGGAACGACATTAGTATTGAAAAGCAATCCAAATTATTTTGAGTACTTTTCCTTGACTCTTGATGAATTGACAGATACTTCCTAGTTATTATTTGGAGTCAAAGCCAAGTTTGAAGTGCCTGAAGAATTGTCCTCTGACTAGACTATGTGGAACAAATGTAGGCATGAATATAGTCAAAGACAGTTGAGGAAACAAATTCAGTACAACCTGAAGTGGAATCTGCTAAGAGGTGTTACAACAAAAGATGGTAAAGATATCTGGAGAAGGCTTAGCTGGATAAATTCACAAAGCTTGTGAAGATGTATGATGTTTAAAGCATAGAGTTAATCATTCATCAGAGATGCTGTACAGGAAACGGAATCTTTACTGAATCAGAAGTGTCAGCGTGAACTTGACTCACTGTCAGTGTGCCTCATCTTCACTACTTCTCAAAACTTTTGTTAGAAAAAAAAATTGGGCATAGAACATGCTACTTTTAATAAAAGTTGTTAGAGTCTTAGAGGAGAACTTTGGTTTGTTTTTTTTTTTTTTAAGATTTATTTATTCATACAGAATTGGTACAGGCCAGAGATGTAGGGGCAGTGAGAGGATTCACCAGAGACAGAGTGGGGAGCAGAACAGGCAGATCCACGAAGTACACTGCTGAGGGGAGCAGCGGGCGGGTCAGGAGGGGTCTGCCACGCCATGTGGTCACCTCCGGGGCAGGCGGGGATGGAACTCAGGTGGAAGTGACTTACGCTTCTTAGTGCTGTGCTTTAACCCGCTGCCACCAGGGAGGGCCTGAGGAGAACTTTTTTAGTTGCATTTGTAGTGGAGTTTTGTGTTGGAACTGTCTAGAGGAGGTGTCACTTAATTCTTTCTGGGTGACCTTAGAATGAATACCTTGATTAAGCTCCTGCAGAAAGCCAGCCACTGAATATATGTTTGATGAAAACATCAGCGGTTAAATTCAGTCACAGATTTCAAAGAGGGTAGACTTAGTGATGGTAGAGATTATATTTTGGCAAGGTTTGGGTAAATCATGTGTTGCTGAAGACCTATATGCTACAACGTTGTTGATTCAAGAGCAACTATGATTTTTGTTTTTTGAAATTCACTGTAAGAAAAAAGTACAGCTCTGCCTATTGTAGTAGGTTGCTTCTAATGTAAGCATTTACTACGTGAGCATTTGAAAAGCTAAATAAAAATAGAATAAATTCATCCAGGTCCTGTCTAAAAACATCCACTAGAAACATTTTGATGTTTTCCTTCCCTTCTTTCAGTGATATTTTATGTGCAAGTGTTGATTTTTATTTTGAAGGAAAATTTGAGAATGGTGTTGCAGAAGGAATGGTGGATCCCAGTCTAAATCCCATTTCAGTCTTTCGACTTTCAGTTATCCAGAATTCTGCTGTTTGGGCCATTCTCAATGAGGTAAGACAGTATATTAAATCAATGAAGCAGATACTATATTTTAATCAGTTTTATTTCATATTTAAGGCCTTTTTTGAAATTCAGAGTTGATAGCTTTATTGTACTTTTCATTCTTGTATTTCAGATTCATATTAAAAAAGTCACCACCTGATCATCTAAGAAACGAATACATTTTTCCTGTGAAGCGGTTAATGAAAGATCATTAAGCATGTACCTTTAAAAAAAAAAAAAAAAAAAAACTTGAACACTACCTCTTGTGAAATCTACTGTAGATAAGATGATTGTCATTTCCACTTGGAAAGTGAATCTCCCATGGATAATTGTATTTGTTCCAGCTGAAGCTGTCCTCCAATTTTAACTTGACTCAAACATTTTACAGTTATGACAGCCTGTTAATATGACTTGTACTATTTTGGTATTATACTAATACAAAAGAGTTGTACATATTGTTACATTCCTTAAATTTGAGAACAAATAATGTTAAATACATTTTATGAAGGGGGTACTTTTGAAGTTCATTTATTTTACTATTATATAGACCCTCTTTTATAGATTATCAGGGATTATATATATAAATATATAAATATACATAAAATGCTATGGAGTTAATTTATTAGAAACACCTAAGAAGTACATATTTTTGTGCAGTAAATTTTTGAATTGATAACTTTTTTTGAAAACCAGTTACCTTGCTTTTTTAAGTTCTTTCTATAATTTTCGTTGGAAATGCAAGCATTACAAATTAATGCCATTTTTCAAATGCACTGCCATTTAAGAATGATTCTAGGTTGATTTCCTAACTGAAGTACTTTTATACTCACAGTGATTATCAAAAAAATATTTTCAAAGGCATCTATCATTCCTTAAAGCCAAAATTTTAAAGACCAATGTCCTCCTTAAGGGTTATTTTACTATACTGTGTATGGTGTATGCCCACAAAAAAAAAAAAAAAAAAGAATTGGTCTACTAAATTTTAACTTGCAGGGGTGATGCATTCAACCCAAATGATCATAGACTTAATGCTTTTCCTCTGATATGTAAAATGACAAAATCTTCTTTCCTTTTTAATCTTCCTCTTTAAGCCATGAGTTAGATGCATTATCTCTTCTTGTTGATACTTTTGTATCTATTCAAATGAGTTCTGACAACATCTTTTATGGGTGATGCTAGTGTATTGGTTTAATTGTAATGGGCTTAATTTTAAAGAAAAATTGCTTTTTTGTGAAAAAATTGTAGCAGTTGTATGTTTATTCCAAAATGATTTATTCTATTGCATTATGAACTATAAGCAATTTACAAGCATTATGACTTACGGTCAAAGAATTTACTATTTTTAAACATGCAATTCCAAATGATATTACTATTATAAACAAAAATATTATAAACCTTAGCAATCAGTGACCTTTAGGACATATTTTACTTAAAAGAAATATGAACTATCAACATTGTTCCCAGCTAGTCTGCTTTGCTGTGCTGAGAACTCAGGTGTTTGGAGATTCCATGCCTTTGGCTTAGAAGAAAGTCACCCAGTTATCCAGTTTCCTGAACAAATGGCTTCCACTCAGCCTCATTTCCTGTGCCACGTTAGGAAGTGAAAACAGTTGGGAAACACTGATAGAGTCCACTTCCTTGCATTGCTCCATGTTAGAATAATTTTTAGTTACTTTTCATAATTAAAAAGTTGCATGTTGCCAGTAATGACTTTTATATTTCCAAGTTTAGTTAAAGGTTTTTACTGGGGTTACTTTCTAGTTTGCCCTTTATTCTCAAATGTCCTTGCGCCAGTACCTGTGGGCCAAAGATGGTTCATTTTTCATTTGTAAAGAATAAAATTCATTATAAACATACTAAATTACTGTTAAAATAACTAAGTCCCAAAAGGTAAAAATCTGGAGTGAGCTCAGAAGTTCCCTTGTTTCCCTGGTCCTGAATAGCCAGCTAGGATTTCAGGGAGATAGGCCACACACGAAAATCTCGGGAGGGAGTGGGTGGCAGCTTCTCACCATTGACTGGGACTTCTCAGACTTGAGACTGAATCTTACATAGCTAGCTTCTTCCTGTGTTCATTCTTAGTCTCTTCTCCCAGCTTAGATACCCATCTGCTCCTGAGAATGCTTTCACCCAAATCTTAGTGCTGTGCTTTAACCTGCTGTGCCACCAGGGAGGGCTCTCACCCAAGTCTTGCCCACTTGAACGTCAAGACACTTTGCGCCCCCTCCTGTGAATGTTAGCTGTGCCTCACAGCGCGTGGTGCCTGCAAATGGCCGACATCCAGGCAGTGTTTGCATGAGAGGACCAGCTCACACACTCCAACCCACATTCCATTCTTCTTAACTGTTTTTACCTACTGCCTTTGCCACATAATTTACTCATTCTCATCTATCTCGTTTTTGTCTGTGGATCTGTGAATGTGCATGCACCAGTGTACACCTGTAGTCTCACCCAACTTCACCTCCTGTGGGCAAGCCAGTAGCTCAGACTTCTGTCCTCTGCTGCACCAGATGCTTATATGGTCCCATCGCTGACTACCTGTTCTTTCCTCCAGTTCCCACTAGACTATTGGAAGCAACCATGCTTTCCTTAAGCAGCATAATTATAGTTATAGCCTATAGAGTTCTGTTAAGTAGTGAAGGATTAGGACAGGAGATTAGAGGTGAAGAATACCCAGAACTAAAAGTAAATACTTGACCTTTTGAGAGGACACTGAACCACTTGTACCAAAATAGCAAGTGGGAAAGTGTCGAATGATGGGATGAATTACACATTCTTATGGCGTGGCTTGGGCATTTGGTGTGCATTGTGCATTAGCTATTGAGATAGTGTATTGTATTGTTCTGTATGATAGCTACTAGACACATTGTGGCTATTTAAATTTACAGTAACAAAACCTTTAGCTTCTGTCACCCTAGCTATAGTTCAAGGCTCAATAGCATGTGACTAGAGACCACTGAATTGCATTACCATCATCACAGAAAATTCTATTGGACACTGTCAAGATTGCTAATATGAATATTTTAGAAGTAAGAAGAGTGACTTCTAGTAATGAGGTATTAAAGACAGAAATGCAGAATGTATCATAATGCAAATGATGATGAGTGTTTTGGGTGAGAAGGTTGAGGACCTATTTCCAGGAGTTTAAGAGCCAAGATTTCTAAGTTCTCCATACAAGTCTTATGCATTCTTCACAGCATGTACCGTACCATACATGTGGTAAAAAAAAACATGTTTGAGATTGTGTTTGCAAAGCTCTGGAAAAAGTAAATGCAAATGGATTACCTAGTATACAAGCTTAAAGACCCATGTACATTAATTCAACCATTGGAGAGGTCTTTGAACAAAGATAAAACTGTTCAATTCAGTACCTACACCAGTAAATAATTCAGTGACATTTCAAAAATCTTCATGTTATGAAGCTTGTTTTAAACTTGTCATAATGGAAAAAAAGTCTTACGACAGTTCTCTTTGGGAAGTTTGGTTATATGGAAACAGCATGTTTGGAGAGAGTGCTGTAATTAATAGCAGTGTATATTTGTAAAAGCCAGAAATTGAAGAATGACCCCCACAGTGACCTTGTATAGTATCTTAGCCCTTTGAATATTGGTGGAATGTGTGACTACAATCTATTAATTCTACTGTTACCCAGCCAGAGGAGATTGTCTGGTGGCAGCTATTCTAATCATGTGAGCCCTTAAAAAGCTGTTTTCTCAGACTGGTAACAGACATTAGAAATTCATAGCAAAAGGACTCAAGGCAGCTTTGCTGGTTTAAGATGGAGAAGGCCACATGAGAAGAAACACAGATGGCCTTAAGGAACTGAGAGAAGCCTCAACTGAAAGCCAAAGCCAGGGGAGCTGCCGTCTGTTGTCACAGGAACTGAAATCGGTCAACAACCTGGAAGAGCCTGCAAATAGATGCTCCAGCATATGAGCCTGTCCCTTCAACACCTTGGTTCTGCCTTGTGAGACCCTAAGCACAGAACAGACTGCCTGGAGTTTTGGCCTGCAGAGCTGTAAATTTGTGATTTGTTACAAGCAATAGAAAATGAGTACAATACTTAAAATAGGAAAAGGCTTCATCTTTAATGTCCTCTAGTATGTTGGCTATTTTCTGGTAAATGCATGAATAAAGTCTTACGTTAACAAATCATGTACCTGGGCCTCATCTAGGATTTTTCTGCCAGAGGTCTTAAATAGTATTTGTTGGATGTTTGCTGGCAGAAACTTGCAGCATCTTATTAGTGTTTCATAAAGGAATTGCTAGAACATGATTATAGGAGTAGGATCCAGTGTGTAAAGTCTTTTTTCCATTCAAGTTATTTATGCCAATTTTGCTTGCTCTAAACTTGTCAGTATATTAAGAATGGTGGAGAGTGCCATTTTGAATATATTACTAAATTTAGAGGAAAAAAAATCATCTGCCATTATGTAGGTTCTGGTAATCTACTCTGTACGGATTTACTTTCTTTAAAGCCCAAACTTGTGTAATCACAGATCAAATTTTATGTACCAAATTTCTGTACTTTGCAAATATTTTCCAAAATACCTGTCTGCTTCCAGGCTGTTACTTGCTAATGAATCTTAGTTTGTCCACTAATTTGTTTTTTTTACAATATTGCCATAGCGTTGAAGTAGAGTGACAATAAGAGGTTAAGTCTATGTCAGAAATTTGAGCCATAGTCATAGTGGAGTGTTCTAGGAGAACTGAAATGTCCAGTATCTTATAGGAAACATCCAGGCTATATAACAGTATTCATAGTGTGTGAAATTTAGTTTAACTTAGTTTTGAATTTTTAAATTACTAATCTTAACAGATATATGCCATGACTAGTATGCTTGCTTTATTTCTTTAATGTACATGGACATACAATGCTGTAAAGGCTACTCCCATAGCATTTTTTTAAAACAAGGATTCTGTTATATAACCATGTCAGTGCTCACATTTAAACACTCTGAAACAATACACTTCACCAGTTTGGGCACTAACTAGATCATTTTCGATGGAACAAAGAAGGAAGAGCTGGCACTCCAGAGTTGAGAATGTAGAAGACATTGCTTAAGAAAGTAAACTGAGTGGAGTGGAAAGTACTTTCTGCAAAGGATCATTCCTGCTGTTAACACTGAAGTAAATATGTAAAGACTAGTGGTGCTAAAATTGTTTTAAAAGTAGAATTGTTTTGTTGTGTGACATTTTAATATTCCTGGACATTAGGATGGCTAGCTTTTCATTTGCTCCCAATTGTTTCATGCTACTAGTATTCAGCAAATTGCCTGGAATCAAAGGCTTGGTACTTTAATTAGCATTCCATTATTTATTTCTAATGTTCACTTTGTGAAATTGGATGAAAAATACCTTTGAAGACATACATAGTCTCTGAGCCTTAAAGATGACTGATATGGACAGCACTATAAGATGTACTGCCAGCAGATTTGATACTGTGAAGACAGTTATGTTTCCCAAGAAAAGATGTGGATATCAGCTATTATAAAACAAATTTTACAATTATGTTTCATTTATGAAAGGAAAACAAAGTGGAGGGTTTTGTTTTGTTTTGTTTTTTGACACTTTCCTTTAGAAAGATTTTCACATTTGGGGATGTTTCTAGAAAGCACCCCTTAGAGAAGCTGCCTGAAGAATTATTCTTCCAGGTTGTACCAGGTTTTTATTCCTTCTTAAATGTACATATATTTCCTAACAATGTCTTCATTGGTTGAATGGATAATATCTGTAGTAATATTTTAGGGTACCTGTTGAATCAAAGGAAGATTTTCAAATTGCTGCTATAATTGAAAACCTAGTAACTGGTCCTGTTGATTGTGCCTTTCATCACTATTTCTGTGCCACAACCATTCATGTGTATTTGAAATAAAGACGTTTAAAAAACCATGTCGAATTCAAGATTGTTTCTAAAAGGTACAACTTTTTACTATTTTAACACTGATATAATAAAGTAGGAGTGAATTGTATATGTGAGTTTTTGAAAGTCTTTGAAGGAAAAAAAAAGCCTTACTGCTCATAATATCTAATATATGAGAAGCTCGCCACCTATATTTTCTTCTAGTTTTATGATTTCAGGTCTTAACATTCAAGGTGCCATCCTGGTTAGTATAGTGTTAAGTATCTCTACCTGTCAGGTCTTAACATTCACTTAATTCATTTTGAGTTAATTTTTGTGTATGGTGTAGTTTTTCCAACATGCTATACTGAATGCTGTCCTTTCCCTTGTATACTCTTGCCTTCTTTGTCATGCATAGTAGTTGACCATATATGTGTGGTTATTTTTCTGGGTGCAGTATTCTGTTCCACTGTTCTGTATATCAGTTTGTGGCAATACCATACTGTTGTGATTATTAGTTTTATAATACAGCTTGAAGTCAGGAAGCATCCCTCTAGATTTGGTTTTTTCAAGATTGTTTAGTGTATTTGGCAACTTCTGTAATTCCATACAATATTTCACTACTATTTCTATAAAAAATGCCACTGGAATTTTGGTAGAGATTGCATTGAATTTATATATTTGGGTAATTTGGATATTTAATAATATTCATGCAATGTATGAACACAGTATCTTTCCATTTCTTTATCTTTTTTTCAGATTCATGAGTATTATTTTTCACTGTACAGGTCTTTTCACCTCAGTTACATTTATTCCCGGATATTTTAATCTTTGAAGGTTATTGTAAAGGGAGTGTGTCATTTCCATTTCAGAAAAGACTCATTGATGTACAGAAATGTTAGATTTTTGTATATTGACTTTGTACCCTGCAGCTTTACTGAGTTAACAATTTTTATGGAATCTTGGGTTTTCCATATTTAAAATCATATCCTCTGTAAATAGTGACAGTTTACTTCTTTCAAATTTAGGTACATGTATTCTCTCTCCCCCTTGCCTAATTGCTCTGAAAAGGAATTCCAGTACTATTAAAAGTCAAGAGATAATAGGACAAAGCACTTTTATTGAGTCAAAAAATGTGCTGCAACTTGGGGATAATTGCAACAGGGCCCCTGAAAGGAAATAAAAAGGTAATAAGTTTTATGGAAACAAAAGAGGAAGATGAGGTAAGTGGTTCAATAAAGACTTACTTGGTGCTAACAAGTTTAAAGTGCTTTTGGCTATACATAATTGGTTACTAACTTATCCTCAAGCAAAAAGTCCATAATCCTTAAAATCACTGACCATTGCCTTATGGTTTCTTAAAACTATTGTGGTTTGGCAAAAGTCAAAGGACCAGTACTAGCAAAATGGTTTCTCTGTAAGAGCTGTTCTGGCTCCATTTACTAATTTATTTTGTGGTTGCATGCATTGCCAGAATAAATCCCCATTAATCATGGTGTATCATCCTTTTGTATTGTTGAATTTAGCCTGCTAATATGTATTGTTAAAAGATTTAATTATACATACAAGAATTGAGGTGTAGGCCAGAGCTGCCTGTGGGGTGAGAGGATTCACCAGAAACATTGGGGAGCAGAACAGGCAGATGTGGACTGAAATACACTCACTGCCCAGGAGCAGTGGGTAAGACAAATCTGTGCCATGTGGGTTAGCTCCCCAACCCACACCAAGCACTGGTGGTAGTTTCACAGTGCCAAGACTTAACACCCTGTGCCCTAGAAGGTCCCAGGTTTGCTATTTTTTGAGAATTTTTGCATCTGTTAAATGTACTGGCTTATAGTTTTTGTATGTTGTCCTTACTGGTTGTAGCATCAGGGTAATGTTGGTCTCATAGAATGACTTGGAAACATTCTCCTCAAGAGTCTTAAAATCCTTTGTATTTCAGCGATAACAGTTGTAATTGTTTCATTTCTAATATTTGTTCCCCCCCAACCCCCCACCCCTTGGGACTCTTGCCAAAAGTTTGTCAATTTTATCTTTTCAAAGAACCAGCTTAGTTTCACTGGCCTTTTTTGTTGCCTTGTTAATCTGTATTTCAGATTAATCTTTGATTTTTATTATTTCCTTCCTCCTGCTTACATTGGCTTTGTTGTTTGCTTCCTTTAAATGTAAAAGTTTTGTGTTTTTAATTTCATATATACTATATATACTTTACACCACTCTTCATTTTGTGCACTGTATGATTTCTCTCAGTAGTCCCCATAAAATTACCACCACCAACTCACCCGTGTCCCATCACCATAGGGACAAGCTTTAGCTGCATCCCATAGATAACTGGTATATTTTATTTCCATTTTTGCCACCATGTACGTTTTTACTTTTATTTCTTCATCAACTCCATGGCTATTCAGTAGCATGTGGCTCAATATCAATATTTCTGATATTTTTTTCCAAATTTTTTGGGTAATTTTCATACCATTGTGATTAGGAAAGCTTCTTGGTATGATTTTAATCTTAAATTGAGACTTGTGTTATGTCTTAATGCAATCTGTTCTGAAGAAAGTTCCATATGCACTTGAGAAGGATGTGTATCCAACTTTCGGGTGGAATGTTCTCTATAGCAGATCCTCCAATATTTTAAGATTGATGTCTCATGTGTCTCTGCGATCTTCATTTTTTAAAAATTCCCTTTATTTTTACTCCCTACTTGAGAGCCATCATTCTTGGTTCAAGCTCTGTGATCCATTCATTTTTTTCCCTAATGTACAAATAAGTATTTCTCACATCAGTTACTGTATGCTTCAGTTCTGTGACTCGTGTTTGGAACTTCTCTCTTCATTTAAATTGTGTTGTATGTACATTCTTCCAAGTTCAGCGACCATCTTTATCACAATTAGTTTGAATTCCTTAATGAAAATAAGCATACTACCGTACAAGGTCCTTTCCTGAGGTTTTTATCTTGTTCTTTAATTTGGCATGTATTTATGTTTTCTCATTTTGCCTGATTTTGTTTTTGTGTTGGGCAAAACAGCTGCTGCTTCGTTTTTAAAAAGTGGCCTTGTGTAGGCGTCAAATTGTTTTAACTTTGACCTAGTTTTTGGTTGTGTCAATTGCCTACAGGCAGCCTGGTTTATGCTTGAAAGATCCCTTATGAAGGTGTGCTGAGACATGTCAGTAAACTATGGGGAAGTGTTGCTTACCACCTCATTTCGGGCTGCTTGGAGGCCAGGCCCTTATCAGTCTTTAAGGTATGACAAACCGGTATGATCCGGTGGGGCTGCAGCTGTAAACCCTGCTGGCCTCCAGACCCAGTGATACGGAGGTGTCCTCTTGAAGTGAGCTTCATGAATTGGGATTCTAAAGAAGTATCTGGGAGATAATGGTGAGCTTCAGTGAGGCTAAGAACAAGCATAAATATAGCATCAACTGGTTCAAGTTCCAAGGTTCTTTGGATCAGTAAAACCTACTGTCTGACTTGGGGTATATGTAAGGGGTGTGGTGGTGGTAGGGCACACAGGTGAGTCTAACTCTACCATGATAGTAATATACTAAAATTGCACCTACCAGTTCTGGCTCAAGTAGAGGCCAATACCTGTGTCTACAGAGAAAGTGCCAGTAGACCCTTGAACTCCTGGCAGATGCTATTAAGAGTTGCTAATGAGTCTCCTGGTATGATTTAGGTTTTTTTCAAATTGCTATCTTTGCACTAGTGCCACTAAGGTGAGTCTGTGGTCCCATGTTCTTTCACAATTTTCTAAACTTCTGAAATTTTCAAATTAGGTGGTTTGTTTTTTGAGGCAGGGGCTGGGATAGTTGAGGAGTAAGAACTTTCGTCAAAAAAGTTTGGTTTGAGATCCCTCCAAATTGTAGATTGCTATGTCCAGGGTGGTATTTCTCTGCAGGACTACATCTCTGCTTCTCAACATGTGTTTGCATGGACTTTTGTCCCTTGTACAATAGCCTTATAGCTCATTCTCAGATCTTTTGTAGAGGAAACCATTCACATGTTTATTTGGTGTGTCCCATGCAGCACCTTGAAGCCACCTCAAGGAAGCTTTTGAAGTTTAGAATAGGGTCACTTGGCTCTGGCCTATATAAATGTATAAATACACCCGTTTAGAAATGGGAACTACGGATACCTTGTCAGTAACTTCTGCAGTGAGGTAAGGATAATTACCATGTTCCACAATAGCTACTTTAAAAAAACTTTTGTGTATCATTCTTATATAGGCAGTATAGGCAGTATTAGAATGAAGGAAATACATGCTTTAGTTTAAAAATATTTATTATAGAAATGTACATTTAGTTTAAGGAATGTCACTGTATATTTCCTCAAATTTGCAAGCTTTACACCTTCTATAATATCTACAATGTTTGTATATTTACAAGTTTTATAAGAAATCACTACTTCATCGATACTGTCGACAATTATAATGAAAGTCTCTTCATTTCACTCTGTACTTGTAGAAGGAGCAGAGTGTGTGGGTAAAGTTCCATCCTAGAGCTAGTGACAGTCCATAGAGTAGAATGAGAGGTGCAAATGGGTAGAGAAGAATTACTGTATTTTTCAAAACTGGCAATGCTGGAAAAGAAAGTTCATTTTTTTAAAGGACATACAACAAATGGACATTCGAAAGACAGCTCTTACTACAAGTTGGGGCCCAAAAGGAGCACCTACTTGATTCAGTCAGGTGATGCCTTATGCAGCTAGAACAGAATATTCTTACTATTCTGCTTTGTTGCTGCCTTCACATTCGTGGCTGAACAGAAACCAAAATGGGGGTTATTTCAGCACAAAGGCTGAGTGAGGAGCAAATCTAGGACTAAGTGGTTATTAAAGAATTTCCCCTAAGGCACCAGCTGGCCCAAGAAAAATACTTCGCTGTTTGGGATTTCCCAACTAGTACCCCAAGCTTCAGGGAGAACTGAAATTTTCAAATAACAAAATCTGTCCCTAAATATCCTGTTTCTTTCTTGCTCATTGCTTGCTTAGTGGTTCCCTACCCTGTGCAGTCTAACCTACTTTCCTACAAGGTAGGGGCCCCCAAACTGAGCTATACTCAGTGTTCTGAACTGTAGGAAGATACCAGGAGTGATAAAACGTCCACTGAGAAACCACACTGCAGTGTTCTAATCAAGGTTTAAGACAATTTCTCAACATATGTAAAAACTTGAGTGAACATATTACAAACACTTCCCCTGAACCAGAAAGGACAAACAAGGAATTAAGACAAAGTTAAGTGGTTTCTGGCAAAGTAGCTAAGGGGGTGAGGGTGGTAACAACCACTTAGCTGAACACACTTAACAGTGCACTGGAATGCTTTGTCTTCCCAGTAAGGCCCCACTCATTTAGGGACAAGGAGGCACTAAAAATATACTCATAGTCATAAGCTAACTATGTAATCGTGCTTAACAGCTGAAGAAAATTGCTAACAGAATTTCATGATAAATTTGCAAAAGTCCCAAGATCTTCTGTGATGCTTTTAAACTAAAGCTCACATAACTGAACCTACACATTGAACCTAACCCTTTGCACTCCAACCTACTTGTTAACCCAGAACCTGAATGCCTAGAAGAAACTGGTCCTGTATTTTGAGATAATTAATGGTTTAACATCTTGAAATTAAAAATTTTGTTATGAAATTTATAGATCTTCTATGCCTGTCTGTTGCACGATTATGGACAAAATGATCTGCTTGTTTACTCATCTGAAAAACGGAGATAAACCTAACCTATCATAATGAAGGTTAAGTGAACTAATACATTTAAATAAAACAAAAGCCAAACCAACCTTGGGACAGTGCATAAGGTAAATAACTAGTAGTATTAAAATAGGGTTTCCCATCTTAGTTTTCTTCTACTTACCACTGTATCCTAAGAAGGTTACATAGATATAATAGCCAATTGCAACCAACCATAAGGTATTTCCAAGTAAATATCCAATAAATGTGTCGGTTAAGATAACATCTGCCAAAGAGAGGCATACAATGAATCTCTTCAATGCTACAATGAAGTCTTCTGATAATATGCTGAGAAGTAACCTCTACTTACGGTTGATAAAAAAAAGCTGGATGAAATGCAGAATCACTAAGAGTGGGTAAAAAGCATTCAGGTGAACATCGAAGGCATAGCCCCACTCCACATCATAGTCTCTACTCTGCCGTTTCACTAAGTACTTGTTAGAGATGAACCTGAAAAGCAAAGTTAAAATTTATAATAAAACATTAATTCAGTAAACTGATGACTGCTCAAGTCGCAGGTAAACGAGTTTTATCTGTTTTGCCTTGATCTAGTGGGACCAGACTGATAGTAGATCTCAGGTTGGAGAAAAAGCAGGTTAAGGAAGAATACAAAGTTGAAAAGCAATATGGCCACCACAGGTTCTCCCTGACTTCACTCCCAAGTGAGTTCCCACCTTCACCTTCAGCCTCAGCCTGTTTGATCAGGAAACAGCACACGGGAAGGTTCAAGACCTACACTGAGCTAGACCATGCCACCTACCATTAAAGAGCAAATTCAGTGGCCTCACCTGAAAGCAATTCAGTATACAACAAAGGCGGATAGGCTGATTCCTGAAAGCAATTCAGTATACAACAAAGGCTGATAGGCTGATTCCTGATTCCGGTCCCCTGCTAGCACAGGCAAGGTAGTTAATGGCCCTACTGCGGAAAATAAAGGGCTGACTAGTGTAAACACAAAGCAGGGCCTCCCTGGTGGCTTAGGGGCTAGTCTCTGCGCTATCACCCTAAGGGCCTGAGTTCGATTCCCGGCCAGGGAGCTAGCCCACATCAGGCTACCACGGCGCAGTAGGCAGCTCGTGCTTCAGCCACTGCTC